CAAGAAAAAAAACAAATGACACGTGACCATGGTACTCACCTGAGCAGAAATACACAGCTAAATCTCCAAGCCAGTAGGTTACGTAGACAATGACGTCACACACAGCCAGTACTCCGGGAAGGAAAAAAACGGTAGTCCATACAAGAAATAAACCACAGATGAGTTCAACTGGACACAAGATATTTATAAACCACACATGTGTTCAACTGGACACAAGATAATTATAAACCACACATGTGTTCAACTGGACACAAGAAATTATAAACCACACATGTGTTCAACTGGACACAAGAAATAAACCACAGAGACTTCCAATCTCAGGACAGATGTTCCAATCTTGGGACAGACGTTCCACGGTTCTGGGATGGCGACTCCAGGCCCTGGTCTGTCCAGCCTGTCCTACGTCACCGCGGACAGAAGCCCAGGTCGCCGGCTCAACGCTGTAACGACACAAGATTGACACGTCATGACACAACATTGACACACAACGTTGACACGTCATGACACAACATTGACACGTCTTGACACAACATTGACACACGCCATGACACAAAATTGACACGCTATGACACACAACATTGACAAGTCATGACACACAACACACCATTGACAAGTCATGACACACAACATTGACACGTCATGAAACGAAATTGACACGTCTTGACACAACATTGACACGTCATGATCAGACGAACACACGGAAATTACCAGCAGCAAGACCAAGATTTATATCCAGTACTCATGGCACAGACTCTTTCATGCCTCTATTGGTTCTCTATTACTAAATTAGCTCTCTATTGACTCTCTCTTGAATCTCCTTTGACTCGCTCTTGACTCTCTATTGACTCTCTCTCTTGACTCTCTACTGACTCTCTCTTGACTCTCTCTTGACTCTCTACTGACTCTCTCTTGACTCTCTATTGACACTCTCTTGAACTCTCTTTTGGGTCAATGAGTAGAGGATTTACTGCATTGTTTGGTGGAATTAGCCTTCATCTGTCTTCTCTGCATGAACAAGTTACCCCCCCCCCCACACACACACACACCCCCAGTGCATTTTCCGTCAAACTGTATGTATGAAGAAGAAATTGAAATTTCATTCCCGAATCTGCCAAAATACTGTGTCATCAGTATAGTTAAAATATCTGATGCTTTGTCAAGAGTAAATATATTCGGATGTTTTGTAATCAAGATCTATCTGATGTTTTGTCATGTGTGTGTATATATATATATACATATCTGACGTTTTGTCACCTTTATATATCTAGTGTTTTGTCACCTTTATATATCTAGTGTTTTGTCACCTTTATATATCTAGTGTTTTGTCACCTTTATATATCT